TTTTGTGGGGCAGAATTCCTCCAAGGAGTAACATTGTAATTAACTCATTTTGGCTCAAAACCATATTTTAAACACCAAAAAAAAAAAAAAAAAAAAGAACCTTGGGGACAATATTTTACCACTGAAAACTGATTACTAGAATGCTGTTATTAACCCATTCCAGTCCAGAACCATTTTTTAAACACCAAGAAGAACCTGGGACACGTGTTTCTGAAGTGGCCCAGAGGATGACATTTATAAACATAGCACATTACCTTGTGGACAATATTTTACTAATGAGAACCCATTACTAGCACACTGTCATTAACCTGTTCCAGCCCATAAGCATTTATTGAACGCTAATAGGAATCAGGAATACATGGTTCCGAAGTGGCAAAGGGACAAATTTTATACATACAGCACATTATCTTGAGGACAATAGTTTAGGAAGAAGAACCAATTAGTAGCACACTTTTGTTAACCCATTCCAGCCCAGAACCACTTTTTAACATCAATAGGGACCTGGAACAATCAGTTCTGAAGTTGCACGGATATAGAAAATTATTACATGTTGTACATAGAGGTGAGAATACATAATACTAATGAAAAACCCATGTAATTACCTTTTACAGGGCATTCCAGGTAATAAATAGCTTTATTACTAAAGCTGCATAGAACACACGGTTCTGAAGAGACACAAGAATGGCATTTTAATAAATAAAATTGTTGCCAAAAGAGAGTAGATACTGTGGCAGACACTTAAGACCAACATTTTAGTAATGAGAACAGACTAATCAAACATTTCTGTTAACCTGATCTGGCCCAGAACTTCTTTTTTAGCTCCAAAAAGGACCCAGAACACACAGTTCTAAAGTGGCTCATGGGACAAAAATGATACGCATAATACAACTGAGAATAACGCTATCCCACAGAAAACCTTTTCTGAATCCACCTTCAAGTGCCAATTACAGGCAAAAAATAGCTTTATTTTTTCTGTGGTGGCACTAGGAACCAAAATGATTCACATACAATGGTGTGACTTCTATAAATGCAAGCCTGCATTGCATGCCCGACCGCCTGTGCATTGTCTGACTGGCGGCCTGCAGGCTGGATCCGACACGTGGGATGATTCTGTCCGTCCCCAATGTAGAACACCATTTTGTCCTTCTCACAGCAGGACCTCGTACACAGTGCATGCGAGATCATGTTTACAACGCATGGAGGACGCCATTTTGGACTGTCTACGGCATGCAAATGAGTTGTTGCATGCAAATGAGATGTTGCATGCCCTACTAAAATGGTCACGGCATGCGACTGTATATGTAATACAACTAACTGGGAACAACACTACAGAAAACCTTTGCTGAAGCCAGCTTTAGGTGCCCGTTCCAAGCTCCAACTAGCTTCATAAATAACACTGCCCAGAACACTCAGTTCCGAAGAGACACGGGGAACAAAAATATGCTAGAAACACATCTTAATAAATAAAATTGTTGGAAAAACAGTGGATATTGTTACAGACATTTCAGAACAATATTTTATTGAGGAGAACTGCCTAATTACACACTTATTAACCCTTTCTAACTCAGAACCTTTTATTTGAACACAAAAAAGGACCTGGAACACACGGTTCCAAAACCGCTCAGGGACCAAAGTGATACACATAATACTACTCACTGAGAATAATGCAATAATACAGAAAACCTCTTCCAGACCCACCTTCAAGTGATGGTTTCAGGCAATAAACGGCTGTATCAGTAAATCCGCCCAGAACACTCAGTTCCGAGGCAGCACAGGGGACAAAAATGATACTCACAATACAACTGAGATTAATGCTATACTACAGAACACCGCTGACAACCCACCTGTTCAACAAACAGCTTTATTCATAAAACCACCTGTAGACTCAGCTCCGAAGTGGCTCATGGGACCAAAATGAAGAGAAATGGCTGGAATGGCATTTTAATAAATAAAACTGATTTAAAACACCTCAGTGAAAACAGTCAGACAACGTTGGGAGCGTTATTGTAGTCATGAGAACTGATTAACAGCTGACTGTCATTAACCCATTCCAGCCCAGAACCATTTTTCAATCCAAGGAGGAGCCTGAACAGTCGGTTCTGAAGTGGCTCAGGGGACCATTTTTGCATACAGCACATACAGGTGAGACTGATACAATGCTAATGAGAAACGTGTCTGAACCGACCTTTAACCCGGGTTTTCGGGGGATAATTCGCTTTATTACTAAAACCACCCAGAACACTTGGTTCCAAAGTGGCACAGGGGACAAAAATGATGCATGTAATACAAGTGAGAGCAGCACAGCACTACTGAAAAAAACACCAAACCAGTCTTTAACTGCCTGTTCTGTGCAATGAAGGGGTTAATTATTAATAAAACACTCTGATTGAAAGTGGTCCAGAGGAGGGAAGTGAGTTGTTTGACTCCTACTGCCTGGCTTTGGGTAAAAAGTCTGAGTCTCTCTTGATCCCTTTTGCTTTGCAGCTGATTTGCTGCCTCTCTCGGTGTAAGCTCAAAAGCTTGTCTCACCAACAGAAGTTGTTCCAATCAGAGATATTACCTTGCCCACCTTGTCTCTCTGCCCCCTGCAAATCCATTTCCTTACTCTAATCTCACTCTTCAGGGAGCAGGCAGAATAGGTCACTAACATCCTAGGTCCCTATCATTGTTGCCAATCACTGAGCTGGGAGTGTGTGTTGCTTAAATGCAATACATTATTCAATACATTAGTCTACTTTAATCATCCTACTCTATCATTGGTTGCATCTCAACAGTTGTCCAGTCGGTGGTGTGTCTCACCCTTAACTCTAATCTGATTTGCGCAAAGCTTTGCAGAAGATTTAACAAAACCTAAAGTTCACAGGTGCACAAATACAATAAAATAGATTGTTTAGTCTTTTTTTCTTCCAGTCTAGTTTAGTTTATATGTATAAATTGGGACCACTTTCACCACAAGAAGCAGTAGACATTTTAAAAAATCCTATAAAAGACAAAATATCGACTCTTCCAGCTTCTAAGCCAAAAAATGGACAGCTGCTTGCACACAGTTATGAAGGGCAAAAGGACAAAAAAGATGACTGGAGGTGTGATCAATACAAATGGATCCATACAGGAAGACATCTTTTCCCAATGAGGATTCTCTGGTAAGGAAGAGATATTTCTGCTTAACCTGAGGGCTGATGGATACAGATTAGGTTTTGTGTCACCGATACGGATACAAAGTTCTTGGTGTAAATGTGGACAAAGTGATTGTTCATTATTTGGGACAAGACAAAACACCTGACCCATATGTGCCCTATAGGAATATGAGAAAATATCCTTTGAGATTTCATGGTCGTACAATGCCAAAAGTTGTGGAGCAGAAACATTTAGGCCTATCTAAAAATTGCCAGTGAAAAATAACAGACTGTAATGTCTCAGCCGCACATATGAGAGTGACTCTTCTCAAAAATTCACAACAAATAAAAAATAATGTATGAAAAACAGAAAAGCAGAATCAGTCACAATGATTAGTGATATGTATGACCTTCACTGTCTCCTGGAAGGGTTTGTGTGTCAGTACTGCCAGGTCCCTGAAATCTCTGTAAGTCTGGATCTTCCAGATGTTATTGGTATTTTTTAAGAGGTGACAATATTGAAGCCAACTACACTTCTTTCATGTGCCACGTTTCTGCTAGCAGACTTTTACTCTCCCCCTTTATGTGCCTTTTTTCAGGAAAATCCAGCAATTCCTGTGGCTGCACTGACTCATGACAAATGCACAACACCTGCACACAAGATGTTTTTTTCATTTCTAGCAAAATATGTGTTCCAGGTCAGCAGCAGTTCCACTGTAATAGTACTGTGCTATATGTATAAATTTCAGCCCCTGGGCCAATTCAGAACAGATGTTTCTAGGAGCTTATTGGTGTTAAAAATGGTTTTGGACTGGAACAGGTTAATAACAGTGTGTTATAAGTTTGTTCTCATTGCTAAAGTATTGTTCCTAAGGGTCTCTAACTGTATCAGCTGGTTTTTGCCATATTTTTTTTAATTAAAATGCTGTTCCTGGCTGTTCCAGCTTTTACACTGTCCTGTGATTTCTTACCTTGTACTCCTCAGCAGCCTCCTCTATGGGAACCACAGTGTGTTCTCTGTGATCTCGGGACAGGTGGCAAACCATACACATGGGTATTTGATCCTCTTGGCAGAAGACTTTTAAATCCTCCTTGTGTTTTTCACACACTGTCCCAACTTCTGGTTCTTTTGTTGACTCCAGTGTAAGTTTTCTGGAAACTTCTACAATATTCCTTAGTTGTCTGTTTGGTTTGAAGTTTCTCTGGGAAAAAGTTTCTCTGCACTCAAGACAGTGGAAGTTTGTACTCAATGTTTCCTGAGTGATGCAGGCTTGGCAGAAATTGTGCCCACAATTTAGAGATATTGGATCTTTAAAATAATCTAGACACACCGAACAAGTCAGTTCAGCTAGGAGCAGTTGTGCTGGATTTGCAGCAGCCATGGCTGCTTCTGCAGGGAAGAGAGGAATTTAGTTTCCTTTTATTGTTCTCAGAAATGGGCTGATTCTGAACTTTGAACACCAAACAGGCACTTCCTGTGTATTCATTGTCTCATGTTACTCTTGTGAGTCCAGAAACACCTTGTGGTCTCAGTTGGTAAAGGGAGGCTCTACCATAAAAGACCGTGGAGTGGCAGCACCTGACACTGTTGGTCCCTGCAATGGTGCAGCACGGCCACTCTGCAGAACAGTTGTTTGAAAAACAGCCCCTGCCACATCCACAGCCAGCTCTATACCGCATTTCTTCCCGCCATCGCTGTGTCACTGTGTTGTGGGACTCCAGAGGTACCTACAGCATCGCTCATGGCACAGCTCTCTGCAGCAGGTGGTATTGGGAAAATGTACAAAGTACTGTGGGCTGCTGGTGGTATTCCAGCCTTCTGTTGGGGAACATCTTAGAGTCAGACCCATCCAACCCAATAACTGTGGCAATAACCATATTTTTTCTGCTTAACCCAAGGCCTTTGCATGAGGCACAGCTGGGCTTCTTAGCCTCCATCTAACTTCTGCAAAGTCCTGTGGGCTGCCAGTGGTATCCCAGCCTTTAGAAGGAGATGATCCTAGAGTCATGCCCCTCCAATCCAATAACTGTGGCATTAACCATCTTTTTTTCTGCTTAATATTTGCCCTCTGAAATTGATACAATAATTTCTAAATACTGTCTTCCTAGCCATGTTCTCACAGGTCATCAGGGTATATACAGATGGTCTGTGACTGAGGAAGAGGGAAAACAGGTGGCTGGAACAATGGGGGCCGGAGTCACTGCCTGATTCTCACCAACTGCAGCATGAAAACATTACGATATCTTGTGCCAAGGGCTTTGCATGGGGCACAGCTGGGCTTCTTAGCTTCCATCTAACTTCTGCAAAGTCCTGATCAGCAAAGCTATTCCAAGTGACAAAAGGCCTCGTGGATCTGTGTTGCTTCCAATGACATACGAAATCAAGTAGTTTTCACTGTGAGGGGGTTTTAAGCCATTTCTCAGACAATAACATGCAGATTCAGACCAAATTTTCAGATTCCAGAGCAGTGGACTTATCTATGGGGGACAAACACTGTCATCTCTGCTTGAATATGAGCCACTGTCACTTGCCAAGGGAGTGGAAGTTCCTACTGCCCTTTGGGTTATAACCTGTGAGTTAGATTCTAATAAAATCCAAGTGGGAGACATTGGGACTATTATCAGAAGAAATTTAGGGCAAGAAAGCAACCTATAAGCCCATACTAAAGAAATCATTTTTTGACAGTAAAAATCTTTTCAGTTATTGCCCTGTCTATTATCTCCTTTTTAAGGGAAAGTTCATCAAGAATCTTTTGTCAAGGCCACTCTAGTGCTAGTTGGGGGGATTTCAGATTTCCTTGACTCCTGTCAGTCTGGTTGTTAGCCAGCGTGTAGCACACAGACTACATTGCTAAAGGACCTTCCCCAGATCAGGGGTGAAGATCAAGTTAATCATGCTGACCCTTTTACATCTGTCAGACGTCTTTGATACACTGCCTATGGTGAATTGTAACTTATAGCACTACACTTGAATGGTTTTGTCCTTTTCTTTCTAGGAGGATCCCATAGGTAGTGCTTTGCAATTTTTTGTCTGCCCTGAGGATTTTTTACGCAGGCGCTACAAGGTTCTATTCTTAAATTAAGGAGAGAGGTCTCTGAGCTGCGCTTCCAAATTTTAAACAACACAAGCCATTCAGTTTTGCACTTTGTGTTGGGAGGTTTCATTTTGAGGATAGAGCTTCTACGATCTGTAATCATCATATTGCGTGGCAAGAGTTCATGGGCATTATAATTTCATCTGACCGTATCACTGCTAATCTGAAGGCTAAAGTCCAGCCCATCCCTAGTCTCGGAGAAAGGTGACTCTATAATTTATGGGAAATTACAAAACAGCATTAGGAAGTCCTGTGTTCTGATTGGCCATTAGACATCATGTTGTGATATACATTGGAACCCCACGCAGTATTTTTGGTGACCACTGTATGACATTGATGAAAGGTTTATGTGTGATTGTGTCTTACTCCATACCACAAGTCCTCCAGGAACTCGAAAGGGTGTGTGGGTGGGAGAGGGACTAAGGGGAGTCACTGAATACTGTAAACAGCCCCCAAAGGTACCAACTGCTTCAGGCCTCCGCTCCTGTGATAGGGCCATGTGGCCTCCCCTTTCACACACATACCACACCCTGTGCCACCAGCAGAAAGGGGTGTCAAAGCTTTAACTGAATGAGGGAGGTGGCTTGGGTTCAACAACTCAACCTTCTTCAAAATACTCTGCGTGGGGTGATTCCATCAATGGCCCTTCATATCAACCCATTTTTTAACACAAGCGGAGTAGCCTGGGGCAGGCGGGGATTGGCAGAGGATGCATCTTCCCAGTGTGGGGGTGAGGTAGGCCTTAGCCCTGCTTGCCATGGGGCCCCTCCCCTTGCTCCTCCTCTCCCCCCAAGGCCACACCCCCGGCCAGGCCTGAAGCGGGCCATGGTAAGAGCCCAGGGGGTAGGGTTACCATATCTGAACTTTCAAAAAAGAAGACACTCCATTGGGGGGTAGCCCCGCCCCCTAGCCATTCCCATCCACTTCCCGCCCCCTGATAGCCCCCCAGAACCTCCGACCCATCCAACCCCCCCTGGTCCCTGTCCCGTGACTGCCCCCCTTCTCCAACTCCCTGGCCCCCTTACCATGCTGCTCGGCTTAGAGCAGGTGTCTGACTCCGTGCCCCAAGGAGCGCCCCGCCCCACCCAAGTGCTGCCGAGCGGCGAGCTGAGGCTGTGGAGGAGGGGGGAAGCAGGGGAGGGGCTCTGGCTGCCGCTGCCAGCCCCACTGCCGCGTTCTCTCACAGGCGCACAGCCCCGCCCCCCAGCGCTGCCGGGCAGCGTGCTGAGGCTGCAGGGGATGCGGGGAGCCGGGAAGGGGCTTTGGCTGCCGAGGCCCCAATGCGAGCAGCACTCAGCCACCCTGTCAGCTGCTTTTCAGTCTATAAATAGCCGACCGGGGGGAAATCCCGGACATTTTTAGATTTTTAGAAATCCCCCCCGGACGGCTATTTAAAGTGCGAAAAGCCGGACGTGTCCGGGGAAACCTGGATGTATGGTAGCCCTACCGCGGGGCTGAAAATACAGTAGGAAGATAGATAGATAGATATATACACAGATTTTGGTCAGGGGGCAACTTTAACTGTGATTCCAGGAGCTACTTAGGCACCTGAAAACTATAGAGGCTTTTTTTTTGCAGATTATTACACCTCTACCCCGATATAATGCGACCCGATATAACACAAATTCGGATATAACGCGGTAAAGCAGCGCTCTGGGGGGGCGGGGCTGTGCGCTCCAGCGGAACAAAGCAAGTTCAATATAACGCAGTTTCACCTATAACATGGTAAGATTATTTAGCTCCCGAGGACAGCGTTATATTGGGGTAGAGGTGTACTTAGAAATTAGCTGACAGGACACTGTATCTAATTCCTATTAGGGCTGTCAATTAACTGCCTGCGATTAATGCACAGCACAATTAACAGGAGTACTTGTGGCACCTTAGAGACTAACAAATTTATTTGAGCATAAGCTTTTGTGGGCTACAGCCCACTTCATCGGATGCATGCAGTGGAAAATACAGTAGGAAGATATATATATATACACAGAGAACATGAAACAATGGGTGTTACCATACACACTCTAACGAGAGTGATCAATTAAGATGAGCTATTACCAGCAGGAGAGAAAAAAACAACAACACCTTTTTGTAGTGATAATCAAAATGTTCCATTTGCAGCAGTTGACAAGAAGGTGTGAGGAACAGTAGTGGGGGGGGGAGGGGAATAAACATGGGGAAATAGTTTTACTTTGTGTAATGACCCATCCACTCCCAGTCTTTATTCAAGCCTAAATTTAATGTGTCCATTTTGCAAATTAATTCCAATTCAGCAGTCTCTCATTGGAGTCTGTTTTTAAAGTTCTGAAGTTGTGATAACAACAATATAATCTCCCTGCATCTAAAAGTTCTGAGATGTCCAGTCTACTTGACATATTGAATTAATGCCTTTCTACTTGTGTCCATGGCAGCGTCTAAGCTTCCTGGGTGGTTTCTCCATGCAGACCTTATGGAGGTGTCATCACTTCCACCGTGCAGGCCTGAGTCCAGTGGGGGTGTGTAGGGAGACAGGGTGGCTGCCCTCCGAACCTGAGGGTAAAGGGCCTTTCCCTCAGCCTGAGTGGGCGGGGCCAACCCAAGCTTGCTCCACCCCCCGGAAGGGGAGGGGTGGAACAGGAAGTATAAAGGGCGGGGCCCTTAGCTCAGTTAGGGCAGCACCAGGGAGGGAGGCAGACGCAGACCGCGGGCTGCTCCCTTCAGACCCTGCTGCCACGCCAGGGGAGGCCCTGGACCAGTGGAGACCTCACCTGGAGGACGGACTGGGGCTGCCAGGACTGCCCGCGGCCGAGTACCCAGAGGAACTGGAGGAGCCGGAGGGGGAGCTGGAGCTGCCAGCAGCGGACTACCCCGACGCACCGGTGGGACCAGAGGGATTCGGACGAGCGATCGGGTAGGAAGTAGCCCAGGGACAGAGCTGCACAGTGGTGAGTCTATATTGCGGAAAGACCCCGCTGATCCAGTGGCGGGACCCTCGTCCTGCCACTGTCAGGGCCCTGGGCTGGAACGCAGTGGTGTAGGGTGGGCCTGCGTTCCCCTACCCGGTCGGGCCACGTCGGGCCCTTTGCCGGCGCTCCCCTGCCTGAGGGGCGCGCTATTGACCTTTGCCGGCGCTCCCCTGCCTGAGGGGCGTGCTATTGACCTTTGCTGGCGCTCCCCTGCCTGAGGGGCGCGCTACTGGCTTTGCCGGCGCTTCCCTGCCTGAGGGGCGCCCTACAGACTCTGGCTGGCGGCCGCCCCGCCGCTAATTCCCCGCTGACGGAGGCGTGACCCAGGCCGGCCAGGGACCTCATAGCTCCCCACTGCCCCCTAGCGGGTAGGTGGGCCGACGCGGATCACAGGGTGCGTCTACACTGCAAAGCAATAGGACTTGAACAGTGGGTCCCATCTTGACTCAGGCTCAGACCCTCCCTCTCCATGTGGTCCTGAGATCCAGGGTCCGAGCCCTGGAT